CGCCGCGCGTTCCCGCCGCCCTCTCGCCGCCGCGATCCCGCAGCCCGGGTCTCTGCGCCGCCGCTTCAGAGGCCCTGGCCCGTGCGTAGCCCCGCAGCCGCCTCTGCCGCCGACCCCGACGCGGCCGCCATCTTTGTTTTCGCTATGTGCTTCCTCCTGCCGCGGCGGCCGCCACCGCCCCCTCTCCCTCAACGTCACGTGAACTCGGCAGGAGCCAATGGGAGCGCCAATTAGGCCCAGACGGCGCGCCAAGTAGAGCCAATAGGCGCGCCGAGCCCGCCCCCTGCAGAAATGGGGCGGGACCCAGCGCGAGCCCAGCGGGTTGCGCACCTGGGAATAGGGAGCCTTCGCTAGGGTGGACACCAGGGCAGCACTCACACCCTACCCGTCAATCTGGGGGGAGAGACACTCTCCGAGCCCCTAGGCTGGGGTGTGCATGCTTCCTCCTTCCTCAAGATTCTGGTTCTTATGCGCGGGGCTCTGCCCTGGCTAGGCAGAGGGGGAAGGATATGAATGGAAAAACTCCGGTCTTGTGTGGGACCGCGGGCTGCAAGCGGACTTCCTGGAGAGGAGGAACTCTGGACCTACCAGAATCTAACCCACTTCTCTGCTAAACCTCGTTTCCTAACCCTGGAGTTGGAGGCTGACAGTCCATGGAAAAAAGTGAGGGTTTTTAGGGAACAGGCAGAGGTTGAGGCAGCCCTGGGAAAGAATATGTGCTCTGGAACTGCTGTGGTACAGCACTCTCCTGCCTCTAGCCCAGTCGGCAGTCTGTGAAGGGCACTACCCTAGAGGGCCACCTTCCAGGTCGGGCAAGGGTATTTGTAACTATACCATGTTTTAAGGGAATGAGGGTCCAGGACCATGTCTTCTAAGCCGAGGGGCCCTCCTAACAAAGGTGCCAGAAGGAGGCCAAGGGGAGGTGCTACTTCTGGCACATACCCTTCCTCTGCCCAGTGAAACCAGTTGCTGGCCTTGGGGTCCTTACTGGAGGATCCTCCAACCCCTCTGAAGAATGGGCAGATTCCATATTCCTGCAAAATTTCTAAGATTTATTGGAGACTAGGTCTCTCTCTGGAAACACAACCATGCCCAGCCCAAAATCAGGCACCAAAATGTGCCTAGGACCCCATCCCCTTCATTCTGGTCTAAGTAAGTCCCTATAGCCAGAGGAGGGACAGCACCCAGATTCTGATCCGACCAGTCAACCGGCAGCAAGCCCACTATGGGAAAAGGGAGAGTCTATCCCCAGGAGCAGGGAGAGAAAGTTGTTGGCAGAAGCCCTGCTTTGCTGTGTCCACCATCACTCCCACTGTAGGCGCTGTGTGTACAGGGCCTGGCAGTAGGCCCAGCAGCCTGCAGCCAGAGTGCAGCGACAGACATCCTCTTTCCGCAACAGCAGTAGTCTGTCCTCCTCCAGCCGGCTCAGGAGACCTGCTGCACCCAGCATCACACCCCCCCACATCCCATAAGTGTTGGCTGTGAAAACAGCCACAATGAGGATGGTCACTGCAACCACCAACAGCATTGCTTGACCAGCCACAGAGCGGCCCTCAGGGCCAAGGTGGTCACCAGCCACAGCTAGCACCATGCCTCCTCCCAGGAGCAGGTTGGCAGAGGATCGGTCCCCATTCACCCAGTGGAAATCAAAGGCCAGAAGGGGCATGCCGATGACTGTGGCCACCCACGCTCCAGCGAGACAGTCTTCATGTGTGCCCAGGCCTGGGGCCAGCATGGTGGTAGCAGCCAGGACCTGGAGCAGGAAGCCAGCGGCAGCCCCTCGACTTGCCTGTCAACACAGGGAAAAAGAGGCCAGGGGCCAGCCCTTTACAATAAGAAAGGGTTTTGGGCTTTAATGGAAACTGCTTCCCAGACTCACCTCCCATCACCCTCTCCCTGAACAAGGAAACTAAGTCCTTGGGGTTTGGGAGGAGTAGGGATATGTCCCTGCCTGGCCCCAGCGTACTCACCTGGGCAGTGCTCACTGCTGCGTGCAGAGACACCACTCCCAACACCAGGTGGGATAGGGCCGTGCTCCATTCGCCCCCTAGCTTGGGGGCCATGACTCCTCGAGCAGTAGTAAATTTGAGGAGACAGGAAGATTTTCAACTTTTCAGAGAAAGAAAGCTAAGAAGCCAGCGGCGCGGAGCCCTAAGGGCAGTTTTCCGGGACTCTCAGGTTCCAAGGCCTCATTACTAGACGTTAGGTAGGTGCAGTCCTAAACTTTCCGGCCCCCTGAGGCTCCTGGGCATACTGCGTGAAGAAGAACCTAATTAAAACCGTAAAGGGAGGAAAGAGGCATGGATAGGGTCTAGGCTGGGTAGGCGAGGGCTCCGGGCTTGGTGGACGCGGAGTGGCGGGTCCCGGCCTGGTCTCGTCGGTCGGGGAGGCGCCGTCCTGGGTATCCCGCCTTGGGAAGCGACGGCGTAGGCCTCGAATGCGCAGTTCCCAGGCTCACGGCTGCATTGCAGCAGTCAGCCGGAGGCCGAACCTGCCCACCGCCGCCGACCCCGGTTGGCCAGCGCGAGAGCAGCCCAGAACCGCCACCAGCGAGAAAAGCGGCGGCTAGAGCGGCCGGGGCGGGGCCGACAGGAGGCCGGTGGAGGAGGTGGGGTCGACAGGGAGGGGCGGAGGACGTAGAGACGGCGCTCCGTTTGGGTGTGGACATTGGCTCGGAAAGACCCGTAAACAGTAGGGTCCTGGGCGGGGCAATTGCACCCGAAGAGCCTGGGGCTGCGCGGCGAGCGGGAGGGGCTTGGTGAAGAAGTGTACTGGAGTGGGCCACTCCACCAGCCCTGGATCTCCGCGACGTCGGAGTGGGGGCGGGGCCGCGGAAAGGGGCGGGGCCACTGGGGCGCCCGAGCGGGGACACCTGCTTTTGCCACCTCGGTCCCCGTGCCCGTCCCCCGGCTTGCGCCCTCCGCCCGTGGGAGCCGGGCCGTGGGGGCGGCCGCCGCGAGCATGCGCACCGGCACTGCGGCGGGCGGGTGCGGAGTCGGGGCGCGGGGACGCGGGGCGGCGCGAAGCGGGCCCTCTGCCGCCCCGCGCTCCCATGTACGCCTTCTACTCGCTGCTCATCTACATCTTCTACAGCCTCTTCCGCAGGGATGGCAGAGCAGCGGCGGCCGCCGACCCTGGGGATCCCGCCCAGGTGAGTCGGGTGGGCCTGCACTGCCGGCCGACCAGTCCCCACTCCACCCTCAGATCGGCGGTAGCGGCACATGTCCTCAGGGCTGACGCTGGGGAACGGGCCGCCCCGTCTTGGTCCAGGTGTTGGAAGCGTAGAGCTCGGCCCCAACACCTCTGGCCCAGTTTCCGGAGGGAAGGAGCCCCACAGGCTGCCTGCCCCTCCTCAGGTGCGGCCCCTGCTTCCTCTCTAGAGAGCCCGCTGTAAGTTTAGAGGTCGCCGTCGCCCAGACCAGCCCACGCCAGAACTGTGGACCGAGCTGACCAGCCTGGCGGGTAGGTGTGGGCCGGGAGCCATGCGCGGGGGCATGTGAGGGAGCCCTGCGTTCTCGGAGATGGAGGGAGAGGAAGTCCAGCCTCCGCCACGTGATCCGAAATGCCTCCCGCTCCCACTACCTGGCTTGCAGGCTGCTCGGAGTCAGAGCATGGGCAAGAAGAGGGAGCCGAGGGCCGCCCGGCCGAGGTGTCCCTGGAAGAGGCTCTCCTGCGACTCGCTGAGTTCCTCTCTGCCCAGCTGGGGGCGGAAGAGAGCCGCGGGAGTGCTCCCGACCTGGGCCAGGTGAGCTGGGCGAAGGGCCCACCTCCAGCCGCAGGCCCCTATCCCCAGTCTTTTTGGTCCTTGCAGCCCTGCTCTCCGCGTGGTCACTGTTCTGATGCTCAATTCTTCTACAGCCCGGTGAGGTCCCCCCGCTGTTGACAGTGACCAGTCAGCTCCTGGCTCTTCTGGCATGGGTTCGGAGCTCTAGGGGGAGGCAGGCCCTGCTCCAGGGGGAGCAGCCAACCTCTCAGGTGCACCACCCCACTCCAGATGGTGCGTAAGGGCCAGTATGTTGGAAAAGAAGTGTGTGGGGGGAGTGAAACCCGTCAGAACTTGGGTGGTCTGGAGGCAGGGGTCCTAAGCCCAGCCCTGCTTAGAGGATCCAGATCAATGACCTCAGTCCTAATAGGATGCACCCCATTCCAGGATCCCCATCCGGAGAAGAAAGCCCTTCCCACCTCTTGGCAGTTCTGGGAGAGGCACGGGAAGATGAAGACCAGAGAGCGTGGCAGCGTCTGGAGCAGCTGGTCCTTGGACAGGTAAGCAGCCCCAGAGCCAGCAGGGACTGGGGCCATGGCACGGGGCAGAAGCCCTTCCTGTGTGCCTCACTTCTCTGGTAGCTGGAGGAGCTGAAGCAACAGCTGGAGCGGCAGGAGGAAGAGCTGGGCCGACTACGCCTGGGAGCGGTGAGGCTGCAGGGCTGAGGGCAGGGAGGCAATGGGAGGGACGGAGCTTGGCAGCGAGCCTGGCGGTTTCTCTTTGCGCCAGGGGGCAACAGACTCAGAGAAAAGGGTCCAGCATCTCACTTTAGAGAACGAGGCCCTAAAGCAGAGCCTGAACCTCACACGGGACCTCCTGCTACACTGGGGCCCTGGTTCCCCACCCAGGGCCCCACAGGTACCTTGCAGCCCCAGGTTTATGTGTGTTGGGCATCCGCAGCAGGGTCAAACCTCAAACTTGGTGCTGAAGCAGCAGGCTCTGCTGGGGCCTCTGTGGCTGAGATGGGCTATGTAGGGCAGCACCTGATGTGCCTCTGTGGCCCCGGGATGGGCTGTGTAGGGCAGCAACCCCCACTCTCACCTGACCCCAAGAGAGCAAAGGGGGCCCTGAATGGAGTTGGAAGGTACCCTTCTATGCCAGCTCTACCCTCCTCTCTTTGTTCCTATCTGTGAAGTGATACCACAGAACACCCCTCCCTGAGGCCCTTGCTGGTTCTATAGCCTACCTGACTCCTGTTCTCCTGCAGGAGGAGGCAGAGGCACTGGTGGAGCTCCAGGGTCAGCTTCAGGAGGCCCAAGACACCACAGAAGCTCTCCGAGTCCAGGTGGGCATGGGGCCCAGGGCGAGGAGGGCTGCGGCACTGGGGGAGCTGAGGCAGGGTCTGGTAAGTGCCTGTGTCCTCAGTGACAGAGGTGGGGTTGGGCGGGGCAGCTGGGAGTGCAGGAGGTGCAGCTGCGGGGCCTTCAAGGGGCCCTCCAGCAGCTCCAGCAGGAGACAGAGCAGAATTGCAGACGGGAGCTGCAGCAGATGCACGGGCAGCTGGCAGGTAAGGGCTGGGGCTGGGGCTGGGGCTCTCAGAAGGCCCTGAAGTCTGGGCTTTCCCTCCAACAGATTTCCTTCTCCAGGACTTCGGGCACGGATGGCTGGCCTTCGTCAGGGATGTGGAGACCTCCGAGGGCTGGTCAACACCTTTACCCAGAGCTGTCAGGGTTCGCTGAATGAGGCCCAGGGCCAGGTCAGAAACTCCTCTGTACCTATCCCCTCCTCTCTGGGCAGCTGACTTACCACTGTTCCAATGGAGACTCCTGCCATTTTACTCTTCCCGGGCCAGGAGAGTTGATTATACTAATAAACCAATTGTAGGCAACAGAACCAGAATAGTTTCTTTGTGACCTTACTTTTGGGCCTCATTTCTGTCCCATGGAAACTTGGTTGGCAGGAAATCCCTCAAAGGGTTGCCAGGAAGCACAGAGAAGAGACATGATGTAATGTCATTGCCTGTGATCCCTGGGTCCACTGAATGATCCCTTTAGGAGCCCAAGGCCACTAAAAGTTGTAGATCACCACAGCTGGGTGGCCACAAGATGCTTTCAGTACCACAGGCCATTGGTATTGCCTCTTTCTGCTTCCTTCCTTACATCCCTGTTCTCTCAGGTATCCTGGGCCCTGGGGTCACTGTCAGCAGGAGAGTCTGGTACTCGGCTCCCTACAGGACAGCAGGGCCCCCCACCTGGATGCCCTGGGCGGCTGCCAGAGCTCAAGGGTATGGCTGACGGGGAAGGAGGGCTGGGGATAGGCTGGAGGAGGTGGAGCATCCCTAGTTCAGCACCTGGAGATATTCCACCAACTCATCTCCACTGCAGGAAATATCCGTGTGCTATGTCGGCTGAGGCCAGGGACACCCTCCAGCTTGGTAAGCATGGAGCCTGGCCCAGGGGGCACCGTCACCACCTGCTATCGAGGGCACCATCGTCGCTTCCGCCTGGACTGGGTCTTCCCTCCAGATACCAGCCAGGAGGAGGTGACAGCCTACCTTTGTATCTGTCCTGACCCTTTCTTAGAGTACCTTGAAGAACAGAAGAGGCTTCAGTTTCCCCTTTCCTGTCTCTCTGCCCACTTGGATAGGGAGTGTGGCTAGGCTCTAGCTTGGAAGGGAAGGCAGGACTGACAGCCCAGTTGGGTGCCTTCTTTTCTTTCTAGTCCCCCCCACTAAGCTCTGCAGGTCCAAGGAAACAGACCCGATTTAGACAGGAAGGTTAACATTTTCAAAAATAATTTTTTATCAGGAAGTTAAGGGATGTGAACCTGTTCCCAGTGACAATTACTACTCATATACAACTGGCAATAGGGTGTAGCTTGGGTACTGCAGCCCTGACCCCACAGGCAATGGCTTGGTATCCCCTCCTCCCAGCCATTACCAGCTGCCCATTTTCTTCCTCAGGGTCCAGGGTATGCCCAGCTATGAATGCAGGTACCCCTCCTTGCTTTGTGTCCCCCAAGGCAGGTTGTAGGGTGAGAGGAGGTGACCTTTCAGCTTTGGGTCTCTCTTGCTGCCCTGCCCAGGTCAAACTTTTCTCCCCAGTGCCCTCTTTTCCTGCCAGACACCAGTGGAAAAGTAGGAGTTCCAGCCGCAGCCCACCCCCAACTTGCTTCACATGCATCATCTTCATCTGTACACAAACTTTGCTGCTAGGGCTCCTATAGCTGAGGACATGGAGGCTCAGACTGGGGGCGGGGGTAGGTAAGGGACAGAGTGGCCATGGACAGGCTGCCGGCCAGTCTCACAGGGGTGATGTCTGCCTGGTAAGTGGCCAGGGACCTCCCCATGGCCTCAGACCCTACCATAAACAGTCTTATACAGGGCCCTCATGGTCCACTGTCCTCTGGGCAGCCCTCTTAGACAGGGCTCTCCAATTCAGTGTGTCTGAACCAAAGGCATCTGTCACTGGGCCCCTCGCAAGTGTTCCTCATTTCTGCAGTGGTATCACAGTCCACTCACACTGAATGTCACCCTCACTGCCTCCATCCAGTCATGGAATCTTTTTTTTTTTTTTTTTTT